AGTCAGGATGACCCCTGTAGTTTCTTCTCATGTGTACTGCCTCCTTGTAAATTCTCCCCTCTAGGAATGTCATTGAGTCGACAACTGTACGATTAACCAATAAGCCTAGGCTTGTTAATTGCATGCATTCTCCCCCTTGCTGCTTCTGAATTAGCCAGCTTAAAAGCCCATTCCTCCCTGCACCAGCTCCACGGTGCTGCCTGTTCCTGTCCCCGGTGTTGTTGCCTCTGTCTGAGGTAGCAGCGGGGCGGTGGGCAGGGGAGGCTGTCGCAAAGCAGCCTCTGTCCGTGGTGAGCCTGGGCCTGCCATGCACAGAGGCTGCTCTGTGGTACCAGCCCCTGTCCATGTGGAACTTTGACCCCCCCACAGACAGAGGCTGCTGCCACCCCGTGCTGCTGTCTCTGTATCAGAGGCAGCAGTGCAGGGTGACAGGCAGTTAGTCTGAGTGGGGAGCTGATTTTTAAACTGGCTCCCCTCACAGACCAGCTCCCGGCTGCCACCTCGCACTGCTGCCTCTGATATAGAGAGAGCAATGTGGGGTGGCAGGGGGCTCCCTAGAAGGGGGACCAGGAGTGCACTGGCTGCCACGCCACTCCCAGGAATTATTGAATAGTCATTTACTGCTAAGAATTCATGCAGTTACAGGACTATTCAATTACACTATATCTAACATCCTTACTCCCCTCCCCCAAGCACTGACTTCCTTTGTAAATGACTGTCAATTGTGTTAAGTTTCAAATGCTTAATTGATATGACAGACAGGAGAATAACCATCTTTGTCCCACAGAAACTCTGTTTGTCAGCTCTGCCTTGATGTAGACCTTAGGAGCATGTTTTCAGTAAACGTACATAACTCCTTATGTAGTATTTGCACACACATTTCACAATTTTTAATGACCAGTGTGACTTTGGCTTTCATTTTGAGACTTCACATGATCTGAAAATGATCTTGACAAACTGAAGAAATGGTCTGAAATAAAAAGGATAAAATTCAAAAAGGACAAATGCAAAGTACTACCCTTAAAAAGGAATAATCAGTTGCACACACAAAAAATGGGAAATGACTGCCGAGGAAAGCGTACAGGAGATAATAGAGGATCACAAACTAATTATGAATCAACAATGTAATACCATTGCAAATAAAGTAAACATTATTCTGGGATGGATTGGCAGGAGTGTTGTCAGCAAGACACGAGAAAAATAATTCTTCAGTATTGTTCAGGCCTCAGCTGGAATATTGTGACCAGTTCTAGGCATTACACTTGTAAACAAATTGATGAAAGTCCAGAGGAGAACAACAAAAATATTATTAATGGGTTAGAAAACGTGAGCAATGAGGGAAGATTGAAAAGAAATTGGGTTGGTTTTGTCTGGAAAAAAGAGAAGACTGACGGGGGATATAATAGCAGTCATCAAGTATGGAAACATTTGTCATATGGAGGAGGGCAATAAATTGTTCTCAACTACTGTTCTCAACTACTGAGAGCAGGAAAAGAAGTAGTGGGTTTAAATTGCAACAAAGGAGATTTATTAGAACTTAGGAAAAGCTTCCTAGTTGTAACGGCAGCTAAGCACTACTACAAGTTACATAGGAAGGTTGTGGAATCTCCATGTGACCTGTTCTCAGAAAACTCCCATGAGGAACACCAGTCAGGAATGGGTTAGATAATAACTAGTCTGGCCTGAGTGCAGGTGACTGGACTAGATCACTTATCAAGGTCCCTTCTAGTCCTAAATTTCTATGATTCTGTGATAATCTTTGGAGAACCACAATGTATCACGCAGGGCTACCCTTACACATATGAAGAATCTGCAGCTACGTAGGGCACCTGAAAAATTTGGGGCACCACCGGGTCTTAATGTCCAACTACCTGCTTTTCCTGTGCTTGGTCCTGTGGCTCTACTTCCTCTGGAAATCATCTAATTAACTTAAAACTGAAAAAGTCTGCCAGACCTATTAGCAGAACAGTGAACTGTGAAAGAGCCATTCAAATGTTAATTAAACCATTTTAACAGGTATTTGCCAACCGCAGATATATACTGTCAGTTTCTGAATTTGCTGCGCTAGTCTACAGAACCTTCGTTTACATTTTGCTTTAAAACTATTTTATTGGTGTATTGATGAAGATTATAAAATCACATTTCTAAAAAATTATCATTCCTTCTCCTCCTCCTTCCCCCACCCCATTTTGGGGATAGGAGCACCGGCTTAATAGTACTGTGTAGAGGCTCATAAATCCTAAGAATGGCCCAGTTACCATTATTAAGTGGTATACCCCTTGCCATTAGGCACTGAGGAGTTTTTAGGATCACAGAGACAAATTAAAGGCCTGATGCAAAGACCCCATTGACTTTAATAGGCATTGGATTTGGACCCAGCATAACTGACTACATTTTACCAAATAAATTAGGAAATCTGGAGATTCTGACTTATTGTGTTGGCAAGCTTATGAGACCTGCAATAGGCAAAGAGAGACGTGAATTATTCCCTTAGAACAGTGGTCATCAGCCAGTAGATCAGGATCTACTGGTAGATCTTGAAGCCTCTGACAGGTGATCCTGACTGGTTTGGCCAGGAAGCTATCAAGCGCTGGCACTTCAGTTGCCCCTCCACCCACTGTCACGCTGCTCCTGCCTTCTGCCTTGGAGCTGCCCCCTGGGAGCCTCCTGCTTGCTGTGCAGGGTATCCGTCCTCCCCCCCACTCCTTTACCCTACACAGATCTCTATCACTCTCACATACTGTATGTTTCTGTCATTCTCACAAACACACACTGTCCTTCACTTTCATCTCCTGACTGAACACGAGCCGTCTCAGTTAAATGGTGCTCAGCCAGAGCCTGCTTCCTGAACCCCTGTTCCAGTCCTGAACCTCCTCCTGAGCCCAACCTCATGCCCCAGACATGAGTCTCCCTGCACCCAAACTCCTTCCCAGAACTTGCATCCCAGAACCCCTCCTGGACCCCAATCCTCCACCCTGGGCTTAGCCTGGAGTCCCTCCCACACTCCAAACCCCTTGGTCCAAGACCAGAGCTTGCACCCCAACCCTCTTTCTAGCCTGGTGCAAATGAGTGAGGATGGGGAAGGAAGGCGGATGAAGTGAGCAGGGTGAGGCCTTGGAGAAGGGGTGGAGCAGGGGCAGGACCTCAAAGAAGGGATGAGAAGGAAGTGGGGCAAGGGTATTTGGGTTTGAGGTAAATCTTACATTGCATTTAAAGTGAAAAATATGGTTAAAAAGGTTGGAGACCACTGCCCTAAAATAACAGCATGTTTGAAACATGTGGAGGGAGGATGGGAAAAGGGAAGGAGATCTGAAATATACTGAGTTCATTTCACACACAAAATATATCCTAACCAATCAGTTGAACTTTGTATTTTCAGTTCAGGGACCAAAACTAACAGTGTCTAGAGACAGATCCACCAGATAAACTGGATGCATCTGATATAAAATTTTCATTTTGAATTGAGAACACATGCATTTTTGGTGATTCTGTTTTAATATGCAAAAACTTGTTTTTTTTATTTGATCATGAAATAAGTATATTTATAAATATCAGGTTAATTTATTGATGAAATATTCTCCTAAGTGCAAATATTGAATTCAATGGGATTGTCTCCATTTATGAGGGAGAAAATTTGGCCTTCCATGTATAACTTCCACATTTTGGGTCACATTTTTCAGAAGAGAGTAATGTCTGTACTTACAGAAATATGGAGAGGTACAAGTGTTTAATGAAGGAAAATACTTTCATGAAAGAAAGGAAAAATTGAGCTTTTTAAATTCACACAGAAGCAGTTAGTATAACGCTTCAAGAATTTGAGTAAGTTGCAGTGACCATTTCAATGATTCATGTCTAATTAGTAAGGTTTCAGGAGCCAGTATGTATTTCTTGATTCTATCCTGCAAATATATGGGGGAAACAATTAAAAAACCAATAAAAATTGGAGAGAGGTAGGGATGAGGGGCAGAATTTTCTTGAAAAAATAAGTGTTTTTTACCTTATAGTTTTTTTAATTCTAAAAGAGACAGCGTCTTAAAAGCAAAGGAGCATACGTTTTATGTATGAGAAAGGTCAACTTTTATTTTCCTTCATCTATGGGTTTCTATGTTGAAACGGTCATTCAGAAAAGATTCTGATGTTTTAATGTTCCATATCTGAGCACATGGGCTGATTTACTTCAAGTGTTTCACATACTTGTAAAACATCTCTTTTTCATTATTATTGGGGGGAGGGGTTGAAAAACACATGAGTGTTTCTGATTGCAAGGAATGCATTGCTAAACTACATTTAGCAATGATCAGAAGTGTTCTTTTCCCTAGTAACAGGGTTCTTTTCATATGTACGTATGTTTCTTTTGAAGGAAGGCTTTAAATAATTGGATTTGAAATAATCATGCTAACACTATGTTGTGATGATATGCCACAGTGACACACGAGCTGCAAACAGTCTTACACAACTTACATTGTATGGGCTCTGTGTACTATAATGTTGGCTAATACATGAAATGGGAAAAACATACCACCCACTGCTTCCCTCCACAGTGTTAGATCATCAAAGGTTCTGTTTCAGGATCAAAGTAATCCTCTTTGGTAATGCAGTATTAAATCACTATAGAACATAAATGCAGTTTGAAAAAGAAAAATTAAGGAACAAGCTAATTTGCTTTACAAAGAGGAGGAGAAATAGCTTTAGGCCCAAATATTCAAAAGAATATGTGAACTTTTACACATACCCAACTTGCATATGCACAACCACCAATATGTGCACATAAGACAAGAGTATGTGCAAGCTCGTGTGTGTGTGTGTGCATGCCCACACACCAGTCTCAACTGATGCATGTGTACAGTCAGTTTAGGCACAGACTCTTGAAAATTTGGGCTTTCGTTTCTTATGTCTATAAATTTGGGATGTGTGCATCACAACTATTATTATTGATTACAAGCAAGGTGTATTACTTTGTCTCAGGAAATATTTGTTTTTTGTTTTTTCCTTTCCTCCAGTTCATTCTCTTTTGAAGTCTGCCTTTAACAGCATAGCCATTGAGAAAGAGAAGCTTAAGCAGATGGTGTCAGAACAGGATGTAACAGGCCACAATGCACAAATATCATGTCTCAGACAATCACTTTCTCAGGTATTGCCCTTGGTTTGCGGAATTTCGTGCCTTGCCAAATGCCTGTTGTCTATTCTGTTTGCTACTTCTAGAGATGGCATGGAAAATGCAAAATATTGCATACAAATAGTTTCTCATTAAAAATTAAATAATGGTAAATTTAAACTGCTTTCCTACCCTTGTTTTTTTTGTTGCAAATGTGTTAGAGAGTAGGAGCAATCTGAATGAGCCCCAAGAAAACTAAGAAATTTAGATGTGAAAGATTTAAGTATCTCTTATTTCCTTGCATGTGTTCATTGTGTTTGGTATCTGAGATAGAACTGAGGTATGAAATATTTTATATGAAAATCTTAGATATATTTCTTAAAACCACTGTTCAAGGTTATTTTTATTCAGTTTTCATACATTAATTTAAAAATGATTAATGAACATTCACGGATTTATTCCATACATCCATTATTCCAATTGCAAAAATGATAATGGGTAACAAAGTGCACAATTTTCAAATTTTGCATCCAGGGATTAGATTTCTTGCTGTTCCTAGTCTCCAACAAACCAATGTTAACAAAGTTTCATTGCTGTGGTCTTACAAGTTTCAGAGGGGCAGCTGTATTAGTCTGTTTCAGGAAAAACAACTAGGAGTCCTGTGGCACCCTAAAGACTAACAAATGCCCAAATTAATTTGTTAGTCTTTAAGGGGCCACAGGACTCCTCATTGTTTTTGTGATCTTGCAGTGTATTGAATATGTAACTTTAAGTTAGAATTTCCAAAAGCACTTGGTGTTGGCCAAACTATGCTCCCACTAATGTAACAG